TCCCTACACGTGCTTGTCCTCGCAAACTAACCGAGAATGACCTGACATCCGAGGGAATTTTTCAAATTCAGTCCTTGGAGCAAGTGAATAACCACACTCCGGAATTGTATGCGTTTCTCCAAAACAAAGCGTACATCTGTTACTCGAGATGACAGACTGATGCCTGTAGTACAATTTAGCAGGGATTCCTGAGGTTAAATGCTCCAATATGAAGTTCATACAGTTAGACACGTGATGCATTACAACTACCGTAATAACATTGATTTAAAGCAAAGTGCCTACGCTTCGCAGCCACAGAACACACCACATCACTAGATTTTGAGAGAGGTGTGAGTCACAGAGTGTATGAGGTCAGGGGCATTTCTCATATTCAGTCATACATTTAGAAGCAACGTTTGTTCCATAATCTCTGGAAGGGTGATGACATGATCAATGCATCCTCTTCCTGGTCAAACGCTTGCCTGATTCTCTTGTGTTTGTGTCTACCGTGCGCCACTTGGGCTACACAACATTATTAATCATTGAACTATAGATACCATATTGGTTCAGCTAATCTTCATGTTATTATCACAAGAAGATTTGTCTCCCTTCTTGTGTATCGTGATAATCAATGACTTACACCAGGTTGACGGGACTACTTCTGATTCTCGGTCACTGCTTAGTACCTTAGTTAACGAAGACAGAAGACTGTCTCCAGCGTCCTTAGACACCTGGAGTTATGCCGTCAGGTTCCACTGCTTTGCCTCTTTCAAGACTAGCGACAACTTTTGTAACCTGAGTTAGGGATGGAAGACCTGTGTCTATATCCCGATCAGAGAAATGTTGGATGCCGGGTAAGTTGAGTGTGGTCGTAGGCCAGTTAAATTGCTCCTCAAAGTGTTCTATCCAACCTTCGAGCCGTCTACCTTAACAGCTAATCATAATGCCATTTTCTCGGAGATTGTTTCACTTATCACTTACATTTTGCCACCTGTTCCCCTGATAAGTCTAAATAGTTGGTTGGTGTTACCTATTGCCGATGCCTTTTCCCTCTCTCATGATTTTGTCACTCACCGCTGTTCACGGTCGTTGCGAAGACTTCATGTTAGTTTACGTTTGAGCAGCTTTCGCTCTGCATCATATTCGGAGCTCGCTGGAATCAGTCTTCTTACGTCAATCAATTAATAATATATATAATTCGGATGAGGTGGTAGAAATCCACTGGCTCTCACAAACTTTTGGTTTCAGCTTATTATCAATAGCCTTTACAGTTGCGTATACAGCTAATTGTACGTTGCGCCAGCCAGACTTCCTCAGGAGGAGGCTTGCTGTCGACCACAGATACTAGTCTCGCTATTTCTTCCTTGAATAGGGTCTCAGTGCCTTGATCTAGTTGGGGACCTAACTGCTTCACTGCCAAGAATTTTTCTGTCCGTTTAGACGTATGCATAAACGTGCGCGAACCAGGGCGTGATTGGAGTCTACGCACGTGCTGCAGGAAAAGCGGCAGTCTTCTACCAACCTTCGTCAACGGTACCCTGTCGCTATGTGGTCTACCTGAGTCAAGCGTTGATTTGGTGATGGAGGTCGCCAGGCTACACAATGTCTCTCTTTGTGCCTACAGTTAGCGCTGACTAGAGACAGATGATTGTCTGGACAGAACTGTAGAAGACGATCACCGTTGTCGGCAGGGCACTCCATAGGTACCACCTACATACTTCTCAGTCTGGCACAACTTTCCTACTTGGGCATTGAAGTCGCCTGCTAAAACAACTATATCTATACGTTTTGCTTTTTGCAGCAAATTAGACAGTTTCAGGTAGAAGTCTTCCCTTAGTTCATCCTATCTGCAGTCTGTTGGAGGCGTAATCAAAGACTGGGAATAGACAACGGCGGATAGAGCGATCCTTCCTTCTTCTAACGGACGCGTCCACACGCACCTCACACATACGACTATCTACTGGGATCCAGTAAAGAAGTGATTTTTCTGCTCTATCACTCAATGTTATCCCTACACGTGCTTGTCCTCGCAAACTAACCGAGAATGACCTGACATCCGAGGGAATTTTTCAAATTCAGTCCTTGGAGCAAGTGAATAACCACACTCCGGAATTGTATGCGTTTCTCCAAAACAAAGCGTACATCTGTTACTCGAGATGACAGACTGATGCCTGTAGTACAATTTAGCAGGGATTCCTGAGGTTAAATGCTCCAATATGAAGTTCATACAGTTAGACACGTGATGCATTACAACTACCGTAATAACATTGATTTAAAGCAAAGTGCCTACGCTTCGCAGCCACAGAACACACCACATCACTAGATTTTGAGAGAGGTGTGAGTCACAGAGTGTATGAGGTCAGGGGCATTTCTCATATTCAGTCATACATTTAGAAGCAACGTTTGTTCCATAATCTCTGGAAGGGTGATGACATGATCAATGCATCCTCTTCCTGGTCAAACGCTTGCCTGATTCTCTTGTGTTTGTGTCTACCGTGCGCCACTTGGGCTACACAACATTATTAATCATTGAACTATAGATACCATATTGGTTCAGCTAATCTTCATGTTATTATCACAAGAAGATTTGTCTCCCTTCTTGTGTATCGTGATAATCAATGACTTACACCAGGTTGACGGGACTACTTCTGATTCTCGGTCACTGCTTAGTACCTTAGTTAACGAAGACAGAAGACTGTCTCCAGCGTCCTTAGACACCTGGAGTTATGCCGTCAGGTTCCACTGCTTTGCCTCTTTCAAGACTAGCGACAACTTTTGTAACCTGAGTTAGGGATGGAAGACCTGTGTCTATATCCCGATCAGAGAAATGTTGGATGCCGGGTAAGTTGAGTGTGGTCGTAGGCCAGTTAAATTGCTCCTCAAAGTGTTCTATCCAACCTTCGAGCCGTCTACCTTAACAGCTAATCATAATGCCATTTTCTCGGAGATTGTTTCACTTATCACTTACATTTTGCCACCTGTTCCCCTGATAAGTCTAAATAGTTGGTTGGTGTTACCTATTGCCGATGCCTTTTCCCTCTCTCATGATTTTGTCACTCACCGCTGTTCACGGTCGTTGCGAAGACTTCATGTTAGTTTACGTTTGAGCAGCTTTCGCTCTGCATCATATTCGGAGCTCGCTGGAATCAGTCTTCTTACGTCAATCAATTAATAATATATATAATTCGGATGAGGTGGTAGAAATCCACTGGCTCTCACAAACTTTTGGTTTCAGCTTATTATCAATAGCCTTTACAGTTGCGTATACAGCTAATTGTACGTTGCGCCAGCCAGACTTCCTCAGGAGGAGGCTTGCTGTCGACCACAGATACTAGTCTCGCTATTTCTTCCTTGAATAGGGTCTCAGTGCCTTGATCTAGTTGGGGACCTAACTGCTTCACTGCCAAGAATTTTTCTGTCCGTTTAGACGTATGCATAAACGTGCGCGAACCAGGGCGTGATTGGAGTCTACGCACGTGCTGCAGGAAAAGCGGCAGTCTTCTACCAACCTTCGTCAACGGTACCCTGTCGCTATGTGGTCTACCTGAGTCAAGCGTTGATTTGGTGATGGAGGTCGCCAGGCTACACAATGTCTCTCTTTGTGCCTACAGTTAGCGCTGACTAGAGACAGATGATTGTCTGGACAGAACTGTAGAAGACGATCACCGTTGTCGGCAGGGCACTCCATAGGTACCACCTACATACTTCTCAGTCTGGCACAACTTTCCTACTTGGGCATTGAAGTCGCCTGCTTAAACAACTATATCTATACGTTTTGCTTTTTGCAGCAAATTAGACAGTTTCAGGTAGAAGTCTTCCCTTAGTTCATCCTATCTGCAGTCTGTTGGAGGCGTAATCAAAGACTGGGAATAGACAACGGCGGGTAGAGCGATCCTTCCTTCTTCTAACGGACGCGTCCACACGCACCTCACACATACGACTATCTACTGGGATCCAGTAAAGAAGTGATTTTTCTGCCCTATCACTCAATGTTATCCCTACACGTGCTTGTCCTCGCAAACTAACCGAGAATGACCTGACATCCGAGGGAATTTTTCAAATTCAGTCCTTGGAGCAAGTGAATAACCACACTCCGGAATTGTATGCGTTTCTCCAAAACAAAGCGTACATCTGTTACTCGAGATGACAGACTGATGCCTGTAGTACAATTTAGCAGGGATTCCTGAGGTTAAATGCTCCAATATGAAGTTCATACAGTTAGACACGTGATGCATTACAACTACCGTAATAACATTGATTTAAAGCAAAGTGCCTACGCTTCGCAGCCACAGGACACACCACCTAACTTAAGTTTCAATCTCTGTATGTATTCAATCAATATGCGTGGTTTATATGATAACAATTAGGATACAAATGACAACCAACAATTTTATCCGCTTACTTCGGGACTGAATGGTCTCAGAGATTACTAACTGCGAATGCATCTGCAGCAATGGCAAATATTTCAAAATGCGTTACCGAAAGCCTCAAGTACGCTAGCCAGACGACAGTTTGCACCTCCTTACATGACCGACAGCCAACTTAGACCTTACATACAGGTTTCATGAGATACTAACAATAATAGAAGCCGGGTTATTAGAAGAAAACAAATTAACAGCTTAACTAACATGTTCAACAAATAAATACTGTACAGATAGTAAAAAGTTTATAAACTCGGTAGAAAAACAAAAAATAAAAAGGTCTTACATATACATATTTACAATACATGTACATAACGATTGATAAATATTTTAACGTAGACAGTTATTCATGTGTACATATACGTATGGATATCTTAATTAATATCAAAAATAGATAAAAATGGCAAAAAGGTTATGCACACACAAATAAACGGGAACACCACAACATACCAACCTAGAAATGTCAAAGTAGAATGTACAAAAAACAAAGGAATATCACATTTGCGAATCATCATTTAAACTCAATTTTATTTATAACACACAGAAAATATAAAAAATAGGAAGCGGAAGAAGACTTTGCATACTGACGGTGCTGATAGTTCATTCGACAGACAAATCCAGTACCTAGACAGTGATCGAACCCATGAGTAAATGGGAGAAATTAAACACAGAAATTGTGAATTTAGTTAGGCTAATACTTGAAATCAACAATAAGTTTAAATTGAAATACATATACGTACAAACATTGAAGAAAGAGGGACATCAATTCGAGTACATACATGCAATAAAGACAGCCTGACTGATTCAGCGTTCTCAAAGTGTTTAAATTCATTGGCTCTGGGCTATAGCTAATTGTCGTTCTCAATGGTGCAGAAACATTCACTCTTTTTGCATGATCTCACATACCCACTAAACCAACAGGTAACTGTTGTTTCTCCACTGCATTTCTGCTTTCGATTTACTCTGTCTCTCATTTATCTACCTTTGTGTGTGTCTTATATGGACAGGCGTGGGAGGTTAAACAGGTGTACTTTTGTATTGAAAATTAGTCAGTCAGTTAGTCTATGGTTGGTACTGACTGACTAACTAACTAACATTCTATCAACGTAGAACTTGAAGCACTTCAAGTTGTCAAACTTCACCAAAAGTACACAAATATATATTGAGAAGGAATAAGTGTATACACAATGCCGCAGATGTATCCACTCCTTGTGACTTAGAATATCCAATAAAACTATACTGTTCTTCGATATTACTATTCTTTTTGACTTATATCTCTATTTTGCATTTCTTTTTACTTTCTTCTTGTACTTTGTGTGAAGTGTGGCGACTCAAACTGCTGCACATCGGTGCAAAGTTCTATGTTGAAACCAGTCAATCAGTCAGTACACAGAATAATAAAAACCTTGATGGATCTAAGGGTTCATAGAGAGTGATTGAATCCATCGAGCATGGCTCTCACGAACCACCTGGTATGGGTGAGGGCGGGTGGAATTCGATCTTCTTGAAATGTTAGCAACAATAACAACACACTGCCAGACAAGGAGTGCAAGCGACAAGACCAGAATGCTTTCAGACTGATTCACACTTTGTCCAAAAGAAGAATTAGGATAAGAAAAAGATGAAAAGATTGAATATTGCACACACCGGTAATTTTGATAATTACCTAACAGTAAAATGTGTATGTTCGCTCTATAAGTTATAATAAAGTTTAACAGATATAAGAACGTGTGCGATTGCGTTTGTCTGTCATATGATTGACAAATCTACCTTTGCACTTTTTTCACTTTCTACAACAAAGTGTAAAAGTGAGAGAAAATTTCGAAGCATAACACACAATTATATTTTTTAAAAGGCATATGATAATCCTTTGAAAAAACCAGCTTTATTTCTTCAATTGAATAGTTACTTCTACACATATATTAATTAACAATATTCTAAAATGCATACATATACATATCTGGTGCTCAAAAAGAGTTCGTGGTTCAATGGTTAACCACTCGGCAGCTGTAGCACGGGAAGTGAAACTTCGATCCCTAGCAGCATACGCACCCCCCCCCCAATTCACCGCATCATCTACCAGCAGTCGGTAGTAAGCCATGAAACGATGGTAGGTTTGGCGTGACTAGCAACCACATCATCGCTACTGAAACTTATGAAGCTTTGAGCTTTATGTTCCATATGTACGACATAAGCCTGTTGCATAAAACTAACGATGAAATAGTCTGAGAAGTATCAAATTCAAGTTTAGAAGTTGTGTTTACTTACAGCCAAGGATATATCATTTACAAAATATTTAGACACTTGAAATTTGCAAGTTTCTCTCTTACCTTAAATTCTTGCACAATCACAGATCTCATATACATACACTGTCATTAAGCATCCTTATTAATAACTCTTTGTGTCCATATTAGTTTGTTTATTTGATATATCACACAGTGAGACAGTATTATTTACTGGATGACGTTTCGTATCAATTTATAATCACACGACTTTGACACTTGAGTTTTATAGTTTTCTTTGCTCTCTCCTATTTGTCGTTTGGGTAGTAGAATTTTCCAGATATCGGGGACAGTTGATGAATCATTCCTATTACATGTATTTGTAGTTGATTCTATAAACAAAGCTTCTGTTATCAATCTCTCCCTATACCCTGTGACATTAGATTTTAAAACTGTCACCCTATCCCATCCTATTGTGTGGTTGTGTGTAACTGCATGTAGTGCTATAGCTGAACTATTCTCTAGATTTCTTATCTTATTCGGGTCAACCAATCTAGATTTTGCTAGGTTTTTATGTTCAGCTAGTCTGACTGCCTCTGTTCTACTACTTTCACCTATGTATTTGACCTGACAATAATCATCCCAGCAGGATATTGGATAAACTGAATTGTTTTGTTTCAAAGGCTCAACAGGCAGGATCCTTTAACCGACAAAGCTTGTTTCTAATTCAGTTTGTGGTTGGTTTGAATGTCATTTTTATTCCTGCCTTGTTAAGAATTCTGCGTAAGGCTTCCGAGGTTCCTTCCTTGTATGGAATTACTACTGATGATTTAGATTTCTTATTATTGGTGTCGTCATTAATATTATTATTATTATTATCACTATTATTATTAACATTATTATTATTATTGGTGTCGTCATTAATATTATTATTATTACTATTATTAACATTATTATTATTATCACTATCGCTACTATCATTATTTATTTTTACATTTCCTTACATATTTCTTGATTAATTTATCTGGGTAATTATTAAGTTTCAAAGCTTCTTTTATGTGTATCAGTTCCTGTTTTAGAATTTCTACGGTACTACTTAGTTTTTGTGCTCTGTCATTTAAACATTTCACCAATCCTATTTTTACTGACATAGGATGGGACGTTCGGAAGTCTAAATATCTGTTTGAGTGTGTGGGTTTCCTGTAAACACTAGTGTTTAACTTCCCATCTTCTTTCCTCTTTACGTTGCAATCTAACATTGGGAGCTCCCCTTCCTAATTTTCCAATTCATAAGTGAATTGAATTGCTTCAACCTTCGAGTTGATGTGTTTGAAAAACCTATCTATATCTTGTGTTTTAAGTACAGTGAATGTGTCATCGACATACCTCCACCATACTTTTGGGGCGGGGGTGAACGCTTCAATCGCTATGTTTTCCCACTTATCCATGAATATATCTGCTACAACTGGGGATATTGGTGATCCCATGGCAACTCCTTCAGTTTGTTTGTATATTTTCCCTTGAAATTTAAATACTGTGGAAGTCAGACATAGCTGTACTCCCAGCATTATGTCCTCAAGTGGCACTTTTGTCCTAAGTTCGAGTTCTTTGTCAGAAATGAGTTCGTTTCTGACTGCCTCCATAGCCATATTTATTGGTATACGTGTGTATAAACTGACAATGTCAAAACTAACAATTTTCTCTTCATTATCTAATTTTAAATTATCTAATCTATGTTTCAGTTCATAAGAATTTGTTAGTCTATATTTTGAGTATCTTTTAAGGGGATTTAATACCATGGCTAAATATTTAGATAATTCATATGTAGGTGAATTTCTACTACCCAAACGACAAATAGGAGAGAACAAAGAAAAACTATAAAACTCAAGTGTCAAAGTCGTGTGATTATAATTGATATGATTATGAACAATAAATTTTGTTCGAAACGTCATCCAGTAAATAATACTGTCTCACTGTGTGATATATCAAATAAACAAACTAATATGGAATTACTTACTACCACAGTGCCCAAGTTTTACACATATATTAACTCTTTGTCATTGCACCAATTTTACCTGTTAATGTTGTTATCACTGATAATTATCAAAACACTATTATTACAATTCATCTGCATAATGCAATCACTCACTTCAGAAAAAAACTATCATTGGTTTAAATTTAATATATATAAAGGGGTTATACATAACTGAGAAAAGCCTTAATGAAATTTAACTATTACTAATTTAACCACAGAAAAAGATGTTATAACTCCGTAAAATTCAAATGAGAACATGAAAAAGGGAGAATAAAAGAGAATGATAACCACGAAAGCAAGCAGAGTATTCCTAATTTAGTCAAAAGGCAATAGAACACGGATAAAATAACCAAGTAAAGCTTTGTAGATATAATAAAGTACAGGTGTCTAAACTACGACGACGACGATAATTAGCTGAGAGTTCCATAACCACTCATTGATTACACACACGCAAACTATAATCCCCTTGGATTTCGAGTGGAACACAGGGCTCCAGCTTAGGTGGATAGCCGTTTCACTCTGTTCGCTGCCTTCGTGGTTACGCATAGGCCTTCACCTACTCCATGTCACCGTGCAACACCTATACGGGTCCGATCCATACATCTTATTTGTCTTCTGCATATATGATGGTTGAATCACAGGTCCATTGCCGTTCTTTGTTGTCGATCGTCTCTGGCCATCTGATCTTCAGTTTCAAGAGAAAGCAGCCATTGATGAAGGTTTACAGCAAGCTGGTGGATATGCTTATGTAACTCATCAAGTCTCTGAACTATTTAAGAGGCGCTAATTTGACACTAGTTTTCTACAAAACCCTGATCTTGCCACTTGTGCTGATTAAGTACAGTAGATCCCCACACACATTCTAGAGTAATAAATAAATGTACCGCTTTCCTGATCCCGGTTGTCTTTGACATCATCTGTGTAGTCGCTTGTGGTTGAAACAATGCTTTTCAGGTGAATCAGAGACAACCCTCCCTATGTTTCTCCTATCGATGATGATTGGTGTTTGTTAGGCATATTCTCATCAGCAAGCACTCAGTCTACAACCACACAGAACTTTCCAGAGAGGTGTAGCACACAGAGGAAGAGAAAATAAAGATTAAAAAGAACTATAATCAGTAGAAATGCGGGGGAGAAAGAACGATAACAAGAAAAACCCTAGGGGTTTGATAAATACGTGGGTGAGTGCGTCTGAGCCACTGAGAAAGACGATTTTGAACTATATCCATACTCTGCAGTCATTTGCTTCTTAGCATCCTGAAGATAACAAAAAGGCAGTTTTATTCCTCCCAGTATGGCTCTTATCAACAGGCAGTCTTAGTGAACTGATGGCACTCTCTTTCAGCCTAATCATATCTTAGCTAATACTGCTCGTCGAGGGAGGGGTTGGCATAGCATGTACAACACGTGTTCTAACCACCTTAATCAATTCACCCATACAACTTCATCGAATAATTTACCGTCCTCACCTAACAATCGACACCCCTGGTTTTAATATTCACTATATTATACCCCTTAACATCCTTTGGTCGAATACAGCAAGCCTACTCAAATTTTACACTTTTAACGACCATGTCTCATCACCAGAACGATTGGCGACAAGAGCTGCTGAGCTTTCTTTTGATTGATAGCTAGATATCACGTCTACGCTAGAGACGGCAGAAACTGGCAAACACCTTTTGTATCCGCGCTGAAATTCCGTCCGCAATCAGGCAATCAATTAGGGCTGATGCAACTTCCCAAATTAGTGAACTGGTCAACACGCCCAACCATTCCATTGCCTGTCTTTCAGCCAGGAGTCGGTGTAGTTCAGTTCTGTTATGCATTAGCCTATACGTGAGATGAATATACAGAAAAACAAGTTTGGCTAGTAACCTGGGATCTATAACGGGGGTTCACTTCAAACAACGTGCAAAACTAATAATTACTTTTAATATATATATTGTGCAACTCACTCTAATTACAGGTGAGGAATCCGCAACGATAACACGTTCCAGCTGTTTACCCTCAAAGGCGTTCACTTCTTCACCGTGATATGTACCTTGACCATAAGCATCCGACTCAAGATTCCATACATAGATACTCTCGTCTTTACCACCGCTGATTAGTAATGTATCCTGAAAAATAAAAGAGAATTTCATATTGATTTGAGCTGGTGCAGAATTATACTACTATCAACTGCAAAAATATTCAGCCGCATCATCGTGCAGAAACTAAAAGATGCCCTGGGTGAGAAATTCTCACTCGCGACAAGCTGAATTCAGTAAAAGCATCAGCACGGAAGAGAACATAGAATGCCAGTCAACTCTCCACCTCAACTTCATCGAATTTGGAAACTGCTTCAACAAACACTAGGAAGTAGTCACCCAAACCTTCATTAGCCTCATTCAACAGCTATGTGAATATGATGATGCAAAATGTCAAATGATTCAAAACAGAAAGCTCATCAAAGTCTTGGAAGTGAAGACAGGAATACAACAAGACTACCTTTTGTCACTGATAATATTCCTGTTTGTGGTGAAGACGGGCATACATCGCATCAACAAGAAGACACTGAGAGACCTAAACATTAGATCGACAAAAAGAATCCAGGAGACCCGGACCTTGTAGATATGTCCTGTCTGATGTCACAAAACTCGACAATCCACAGGCGGAACTCAACAAGTTGAGGGAGCAGGAAGTGATGAGACAACTTCAAGTGAACAAAAAGTAGTAAGGGGGTTTGCTGATAACCAACAAACAACGGGCATTAGTCACCATCGGTAGAAGTTATATTTAGGAAGTCACTTCTCATTTTTCTAGGCAGCATCGTGTCAACAACAACAACAACTAGAGGATCTCAAAGCTAGGATCGTAAATGCAAGACAGGTGTTCACACTCCGAGATTAGTATTAGGATTAACGGCACTCACGATAACCAACGAGATCCGAATTTTTATTCCCGTGTTTTTGTATGTTCAACAGGATGGGCTAACCACTGAAGGTATTCCTAACACACACAATTACCTCTTTCGCTCGATAGTGAAGATCATATGGTCACAGAAAGGATAAATAACTAACAAATATGAAGAAGGAAGTTGATTGGATACACATAAGCTGAGCGCACTGCTGTGTGACGTTACATACTAGGTCGTTTAGTGGAACTTAAATGGAAAAAGATAAGTTGGACTTCTGAGGTTAATACAGTGGTAATCATGTGGGGAAGAAATAGAAGTTTATGGGCAATCGTGGAGCCGGATAAAAAACAGCAGTGAGCGTGGAGGAATGACGATGTGCTGTTGAAGCCTTATGTTCCACTCTTAACCCGCAGCCACAACTATTTTTGACATATTACTAGATCAGCTGACGCTGCTTAACATTAAACCCAACTATATTGTAGCACTCGAAGTATGAGATAGGACGCAATCACCTATGGTGGAAGACAAGTATCCTCTTCACTTCTTCCACTCTCAACAGCCATGATACACAGTCATAAAGGAACACAGAACAAACTGCTTCACAGTACACACGTCCTCTCATCGATACCTGGATATCACGTCACCACCAAAGATGGAGCAAGTTGAGAATTCTGACGTAAGCGAGCATTATAATAGCTACGTTGCAGCTTTTATACCTCGTGACACATTAAACCGTATAAGTTGAGATTTAAAAAAAACCTACATATGTTACTACCTTTGTGACAGCAAGGGAAACAAAAATATTAGCAAACATACACTTATAAAATGGATGGTTGACACTCCACCCTGGTGACCATATAATGATTCATAATGGTGTAGATACTTGCCAGGCCCGGCAAATAATTCAATGGTGCTGCTCTCAAGTCCGGCAGCGACGATGTTACCAGATTGCGAACATGCGATTGACATAACTGAACGAGTACTTAACGGTATGCTAGAAGGCCGGGGATTACTTGATGATACTGGTGTGGGCAAAAGAAAGAGTCGTGCCTGCGTGAAAAAAAATGATTTCAAAGATGAATGACAGTTAAATCAAATGGCTTCAATTATTGGAAGGCGAATAATATTTTTCTAGTGTTTTAGAACCTTTCTGTAAAAAAATCAAAACTATGCAGGAGATAAATAAACATGACTCTAGAGCCACAAACATGTAACCCAGTAGTTACATATAATCTTACCTAGGTTACCAGTCGCTAATAAGCCCGGAAAAGTGGGACGGTTGGGAGCAGGGCAGTGAACTGCTCACACACTTCGGCACCTTCAATAATTCGGTGATCAGAGGCAGCGTTTACAACCACAAGCATATACACAAAGTGACATCGGTTTCACCCAACGAACACATCAAAAATTAGATGGACTTCATCTTAATCTTAAGAAAGTTGAGATGCAGCCCGCCAGAAACTAAGTTGAGATGAGCAGATAGGAGCCCAGACCATATATTATTTAGTGCAAGGACCCTTCAAAGTAAAGCTGAAGGCCTTCAAGCAATCAGGATAAAGGCTATAATTCATCCCCAACACTGCAACTGAAGGACAACGCAACAACGGGCACCTCTACCGTGGTCAACAGGATAAAGTCAGAAACAGTAAGCAAAATCATCGAGTTAGCTTGTGTGAAAAACACAAGGACGCCCTAGAATTGGTGCAAAAGCAAACCCGTACAGAAATCTGAGACAGGACAAGGAATGACTCACAATGGACATATGGACGGTGATGGAGTAAAGAAGAATGATGAACCAGAGCAGAGACGAATACCGGAAGCAGACGCTGAGTATAATTTACAACGTATTGAGCAAAGGAGCGGCAAAAGCATTGAGCCGGTAACTTCAAAGGACTTACGTAAATTTGAAAACTGCCTCATCAACGGTGTGCCGCCACGAACTTTTATAAACCGCATTAAACAACTGTACGGTAACGCCGAATACCAACATCAGGTGTTCGAGGTGAAGACAGAAATGAGACAAGACTGCTTACTGCCACTGACAACCTTCCTGATTGTGGCCCACTGGACCAGAATACACTGAACTGACAAAAAGACCCAAGAAGATCTGCTCCTAGTGGATGTTTCATATCTCGCGTGCCACAAACTCGAAGATCTACAATTTTAAACCAACAAGTTAGCAGAACAGGCAGAGAAGACAGGACTTCATGTAAACGCAGAGATGATCAACAAGCACTGGTGATCACCAGTGAAAGAAATCAAAAGAAAGTCAACTCTTGCTTACCTGGGAAACATCGTATCAACTACTGGCAGCGGTAGAGAAGCGGATGTCAAAGACAAGATCGGGAAAGCAAGACAGACCATCACTGCTCCGAAATCAGTTTGAAGATCTACGTTACTTACTCAGTACAAGGAAGATCAGAATTTGCTACTATATGATTCAGAGACAGCGTATCATCAAAAGACTCCAATAGGATACTAGAGATTTTCATCTACAACTCTCATTGCTGCCTCGATACTGAAGATCAAAAGGCTCGAAAGGACAGATGACAAGGAGCTCTAGCAACAAACAAGCTGAAAATACGTTGCCTTACAAACATGCAAATGAAAATGAAGGTGCTCTGTGGATACAGAGCTTCAGTTGACATCACACACCAAGCACTACAGAGGAACCAGAATAGAAGGTGAAGTTGGGCTTCAGTCTGAGGGTGACACAAAGATAATGATATGTGGAGGCAGTTGAAAGTAATGGCAAAGAATCAAGTGCAATGGGGGTGTGCCGCCAAAGCCCTATATTCTGTTGGAAAAGCAAAGAATGAGTAATAGCAATGATAATGATACGTGGAGAGGAAAAAACATTAATATTAGTATTCACCTATGCATCCATTGTCAGTTGAAATAGATATTGATCACGCATGTCACACATTTAAAAAAGTATAGAGTTTCGTAGGTTTACAACTTGATCGGTTATTTCCTGTTCACACAAACATCTTGTTTATGTTCATTCATAGCATTCGTGACTGAATGATGAAACAAAGCATTCAAATGACCCTATTCAAGCAACCTAAACCTCCTTAAGCATGGTCTACACCAACAATACATGACATCATGCATTAATAATGTGCTTTTGTATGACCGCATACTTTCCCTAGCACCATCATTAAGTGAAAAGTGTCCCGACTCTCGCAGCCACCTTGATCACCTTTTGCAAATTTGACTACTTGATGGGCGTAATTTCTTTGTCACACATTTTCTATCTTTCAAGCTTTTTTCACCTACCAACGTCATGAACTGATTTTATGTTAGGGTTCGGGAGACTACTCCAGAAAGAGGGACTGCTGTTTACTATTGCGACATGTTATAGCCTGATTGACAAGCCACAGAACCTAATCAGTGATAACCACCGAAAGATAAGGTGACAAGTGGACTGCTGCTGATACACTGACTCGTCCTGGGACCGACTAGTCTATCTATACCACATAAAGGACTTTCCTCAGAGCAAAGATATCCACGTAGGAACTACCACTGCAATAATTGCCAAAGCCATCTGAAATATATCATCTAGTTGGTAGCAGAACTTATAGTTAGTCACATCTGGAGTTGAAGTTCTTTGCAGGCAATGAGAAACTTCTTCCTTTAACAGTTATGCAGCAGCTCATTGATCCTTTTGTGCTGATACACACTGAAGTTATTCTCAATCTTCTACTGTCCCTGATGATGTAGAAAGGATTAGCATGGCGTATATAGTGTTTCCAAACAAGTGAAGAGCATATCTGCATGGGTTTCACCAAATTGACGATTATGAGCTTCAACGTAAAAAACACTTCACAAGGGAACACTAGAATGAGATGAAGAGCCTTCATTGTGATGTCAACTAGAATTTACAGCTCATTATGTATTTTCCAACATTACAGTGCAAGAAACAAAACACAGATTTCACTTTTAAAGAAACGACCAGAAATATTGCGATAAACACCTAGTACACACGCTGAAAAGCCTAAGTTCCATCCTACTTTTATCTACACAGTAGGCTACTTTATAAGATGAGGAGTCATGGAACAAGATACTGTTCTGGTCATCATGAAATCTTGTAGGTTGAAACAGTGTATAAGGACACATGTAACAAATACAAAAAGATGTTGACGTTAGTCGACTTACAATTTGCTCGGCGAACCGATCTCGAGTGCGGTCATCAGTTCTGGTATAACCCCCGTCATAGTACATGGTGGAGACAAAATCGAGACCGGATAATGGATTCAAGGATTCATCATCTATACTGTCTACATAACTATCGTCAGCCGCCACATTGTTTAAGTCGGACACAGAGTAATCCACCATTTCATCCAACTCAAATATATTTACCGCTAGACCGCTTCCTTTCCAGTCGGAAACGACAACTTTACAGTCGACACCACCGCTCACCAGCTGCCAAGGACGGCCGGGGCGAAACTTAGCTGAAGACACGCTTCTATCGTGCTTCCTAAGAGTTCGCACAAGGGTACCATTACTCAAGTCAATAATCTGTACAGCACCAGTACCATCTGCCGATGCCAGACGATCACCAATCTCCGATACATCAATGGAATTCACTTTTTCTTCATTAACCTAAGGGTTGAAAGATTAGTTTTGAAAGGGTAGTTCTGGGAACATACTTTCCAAACACCAGATGGCTGTGTTATGTTGCGAATATCCCAGGAAACAATTTCTTGACAGTATGCGCCGTACAGCATATTCGGTTGTTTAACACTAAATTTAAGACTAGAACAGTGACCATATCTCGGAGCCTGGAGAACAGGATAAGGACTTTGATCAAGCGACCAGAAATAAGTATTGCCATCCACACTTCCAGATGCCAGCAGATGATCAGAAAGTGACAAAGATGTGACTGCTTCTGTGTGTCCACGGGCAAGAACAATAGGGTTGGTGGACATTGTGACTCCTGAATTAGAGGGTGGGATTAGTCGACGAGGGAACTTTGCGGTGATGAAAAATGTAAAAGGAAGGTCTATTTCCAAGTGAATCACAGGTCCTAAAAATGCATGAAACGATTGATGGAACTTACTTCTCCCTGAACTCCGCAGCAGCTTCTATCTCCTTCAGATTTCCAGTGAGACCAACGAGACCAATGCAGACGACAATGAAAGAGAGAACTATTTGCACAAGGATCTGTAACATAATGCGACAATGTTAAAGAAAATCACATACTCACATCAATAGGTAATGAGCTATATTCCTGTTCTGTTAAACGGATATAAGAACGATCTACAAGGGTTTGAAATGATAAGAGCTCGGGAACTACGAGGAACTTACGCTGGGCAGCGGAATAGGCAGCGTGTGTGAGGCCACAGAGCCCAACGACTAGGGCAGCGCGAGAAGCACTTACCATTTCAGCGCCATCAACACCTGACCGATTCAGTCAAACTGTCGCAAAACAACAATGTGATTTAAAAAGTCCCTTTGCACTTTTCATGCAAGATAAATAAGTAAAAGTTAATATTCCTGCAAAATAGTTGAAGGAAAATGGGGTTTTGTTTGAAATAACTAATAATAATTCGGATGTCCAATGGTCCAATGCAAAACAAATTCCTTTGAAGAATCTCAGTGATGACTAGATTCAATTTATAAATTAGATTCATGTTTTTTTTAATTTTCCAAAATAATTTACTATTTTTGGAGTATCGAATTTCTCACTAACATTCTGAAAATTTGACTTGCGAAACGTCGCCTGATGATTGGTTAAAAAGGCATGGACTGCTTTCTTCTTGAAAATGACTTTCCAAAGCCTCCCCACATTACATGCAATGGAGTCTGATACGGCTGTTAAACTTTCTGGAGTTCAAGCTATTTTGGATCAACTAGGTTTTGGATGGTATCAAGTTCGTGTCATTATAATCATCGGTATGGCTCAAGCGACTGATACCATGGAAACTTTAATTCAAGCAATTCTTGGGCCTACACTACGATGTGAATGGAACATGAGTTCGGATTATGTTGCTCTTCTTACCACTCTAGTATTTTTGGGTATATGTATAGGTTCTCCACCGATAGGATATTTATCAGATAGACTCGGACGTAAAGATTTGAATGTTGTTTGTTGTCTTGCACTTATTCACATGACATGGTTATGTGCTATTTCACCAACATATACGTGGTTAGCAACTTTGCGCTTTATATCAGGTCTATACATTGGGGGCTTACTAACAGCTGGTTGTTCAATGATATCAGAAGTGCTACCAGAAAATTACCAAGCTACTGGTCAATTACTTGTTTGTTTTTTTGATTCTTTTATTGCTCTCTATGTAACTGGTATCGGACTTGGATGTTCTGTAGCAAAACTTAGTTGGAGATTTTTTATATTATTTACAACAGCACCCCTGTTGTTATGTGCATTAGGCTTAGCCTATTTCATACAAGAATCACCCATACTATTGGCTCAGTGGGGAAATTATGAAGAGGCAGCAAATGTTCTGGATGAGATTGCAAAATGCAACGGTCGAATTCCATCGAAAAGCATTACAGATAATGAAAATAATGACCACAGTAATGATAACCATTCATCGAACAAATCATGTACTTTTCTAAATAACATGCTGACGATTGAAGAAAATCAAAATTGTGCTAATACAACACCAACATTTAAAAATACCATGAAACTTATTTATAATCAATATGCTCTAGCAACGCCTTTACTAATTGCAATTAATTTTATCTGGGGAATGATTATTTATGGTGGGACTACACTGCTTCCGGTTGAACTGCCATCAACTCCAAGAACATGCTTACAAGTAAGACCATATGTATATGTATGTATATACCATGTTATCACCGCTTAATATAATAATTATTTGTCCCTTGGGTTCTAAGTGTGATACAGGGCTTCATCCGCCCTCCACAATCTTTATCTAGCTGCCTGAATCAGTCCCCATAAGCTTTCATCATTTCCTCCTCACGTGGTCCATTCCACCCTCATACCCATTCCCAACCTGTCGATTTCAATTTGAGTTCGACTTGAAGGCCTGAGTGACATTCATGTGGTCTTCTCAGTGCATGTCCAGTTCATCCATTTCTACTTCCTTATGCATATTTGTTGGTTGGGCAATAGGTTTATTGCCTACTAGTGACCCCTGTTCCTTGCATTTCCTTTCTGGCCATGGCTTCATATTATATTTTCTTTGTTCCTTTTTTCTATTTTTAGTGTAAATATGCATAATTTATTTTTACATATAAATGGCCAACTCACTATGCATACACGAATTTTCCCCTTTGGTGAATTTAAACAAAAAACCAGTGAACTCTATCGAAAACAACCACACTTAGGATAAAAGTGAACTGATGTCTCCTTGATATATTTCGTTGTCGATTGGTGAATCTCTTGTCAACCAACCCCTCATAAAATCTGAAAACTGAAAGTTATAACTTTTATTATTACAATTAGTCTGTCATAGCCCCTTAGATCTTTGAAAAAATAAAATGTAGAACAGCAATAATAATAATAAAAGAAGAAGAAGAATGATCTTGATATGTATACAGATGAGTCGAAGTATCAAGTAAAATGCAAAATGTAAGAATTTACAAAAAAATCCTCACCGAGACATTTAGAAGACAATCGGATTTAGCGAAGAGACACTTACCTTTCAATTAGATCTTCATCTATAGATCTACTCTACTACATGCATAGCATTTTCAACACAATATAAAGAAGCTCAACAATCCAGTAGTAGTGATAAATTTGTTAATAATAATTATTCAATATTGCTGTGTCAGCGGCAGTGTTAGTTAACGAAGAACAACTGATGCAAATAATTTAAGAGCAGAAATAATTGAGAAAATTACAGAGTTGGATTCCATAATTTTGGAAAAATACGATGAATAATTGGGATACAAATTAGTGTACAAGTCGATGAAGTGATAAAAAATTACGGGTGTGACCATTGTCACGCTGTGCGACCTCATATATATATATATATATATATATATATATATATATATAAGCAGCAAAACGAATGTGTTCCATTTTAATCATAAGTTTCACATGGCAGTTACGCAATACAGAAAGCGTTAGTCGGGCAGAAACCGTAATAAAATTAAGTAAGTAAACGGAGTGATGCAATGCAATTGACGGGAGTGAGCAGATCACAACTAGAACTGAAAGAGAGTCAAGTTAAGACCAGTGTCATAAGGAGCAGAAGTGTAATAGTGGGTGGAGGAGGCAAGAGAGTGAGAGAGAGACGGAGAGGAAAATAATACAACTAAGAAGCGAAAAAATTAGGTTTATTTTGATAAAGTCTCACAGTGTTATACGGTGATATTTACTGTTGACCTTTCGAGGACAATTTATCCCTCATCGTAATCATATCAAGTTACTCACACAACTTTCCATCTTCATTTATATGATTCCACTGTTTCTCATCTCTTGATTTGATTGGTAGTAATATATTCCATATTTCTGGTATGAGTGTTGAGTCATTCCTATTGCTTGTGTTGGGTGTAGTAGATTCTATGATGAAAGATTCATTAATGAACCTCTCTCTCTCTCTAAATATATATATATATATCTACCTATATCACTTTTTAGAATTTTAACCCTCTCCCACAATCTCCCAAATCACACCCACAATACTGTGAGACTTCATCAAAATAAATTCTATCCACAATGAAATTGTACCCTTCGACAGTGAACAAGTTCTATTCTTATATCAATAAAAAAGTTATGATCAATAAAAAACTATGTATCCACTGTTAAGGCATATTAGATTCATTGTCTTCTTCTGCATTTAAAGTTTAGGACTTAACATGTGGATTGTTATCTCTTCTGAGGTTTGAAGAAGTTTGATTCATACTCCTATATGACAGTATTTCCAGGTACTCTGTAGAAGATGATTTGGAAGTTGGTTTTCGGGTTCTCTGGGTGTCGTGAGTCGATCAGGCTTTCCAGAATAGACCTGCTGTGGGGGGGGGGAGGTGTATCTTTTTCCTCCTTTATAAAACCATGATGAAGTAGGCAGAACAGTAAGATAGTTTAAACAGTAATAATTTATAAAAGGCTTAAGGAGAAGGGATAAATTGTTAGACTTTTGCTTTTATGTAATGATGGTCACGGTAAAGAAAACGGCTGTACGAATTTCATTTGAACACACCACTAAGCAGAACGATGTTCAGAAACCAAATGATGAACTTTTAATTTAATTGTTATACTAATTGTTCTTGGTTAACTAACATTGCCGCTGAAAGGTAAATATTTCTTTGCTTAGTCCGATTGTCTTCTAAGTGTATAGTTGGCGATTTTTTCCATACTGTCACTATTGTTTAAATATTATTTACTAGTAGCCCATAACCTTTGAATATATACATAAGTAAATCCTTTGGAAGAAATACCTGTTTCAGTAAATTCGATATTCTCATAATTTATTCAGAACAAATTGCTTAGAACGAACAACTGTTTTCAATAAATTCTTCTTCAGGCTCCACAATTATAAATCCATTAATTTATACACAGATATATCATCTCATTTTATCTGATGTTCTCATTGTCCACACATTTTCAAAACTAACTGACTATTGTTCCACCCCATCTTATACTTGTTCTCCAATACCTTTCTTATGAGATTATAATTTACCTTCCCTGACTGGCTACTGTATGCTTAAATGAATGTATTTATAATTGTAGTGCATGAAGAAGAATTTATTGAAAATACGTGTTTATAAGTAAAGTCTGATAATATTCAATGGTGTTTCGCTTGATGACATGAAATTGTTTGGAAACGTATTTCCATCCAAACAGTGTGTTAAGATTTATGGTTGGGACACTTAATAATTAAACTTATCTATAACCTAAAATTCGCTCTCTTTCCTGAAGACTGAGTGTATAGAAGTCTACGTATAGTTAACTTTTCATAAAACTGGACAATGTGTTTCCACTTCCTTGGTTGATGGTGGCTAGCAGTAGAATTAGGTGTGACTGATACTGTCTCCACTAATACTTGAAGCCAGATAGCACTCTTCGTTTCATACTCCTGGAAGTTAATCACTAAGCCACTGGGCAGCAAGAACCATCACCTCTTGGGCTTCAGGTTTTCAGCTTAAGTTTGAAAGGGAATACTATCTATTAGTCACTTATTGGTTGGCGGAGGATGCAAGTACATTCATTTAAAGAGTCCCAAGTAGGACGAAACGCTTATCATCAGTCCCATTTCTAACCACTACTGACCAAAGAATCTTAAATTCATTAAACTGCTATAAAATTATTTGCGCATATTGATTGTGTCTCAAGATGATAATGGTTTCAATAATAATATTAATAATAATAATAATAATTCCAAAGAAATTCAGAACACATCATTCAGGGGACTTATCAAAATGTATGTATATATACAATGTTTGTCAGTGTTAGTTGAGTTGTGAAAGTCGATCAAATGTTGTCAAATAGAATTTGTTATTCGTTTTCTTCTTTTCCTTATGAAGCCATGCTAGAATGAACACTTTAATCCGAATGGAAAGCATCCTTTGATAATCAGAGCTTATCTATTTTACACAAGTAGAGAACAACTTACATCTGGTGAAGATAAGTTGGAGTTTTGTTACAAAAACAAGGTCTTACTGACTGATTTAAAAAAACAGGTGCCTGAGCCTATATGAAATTTGATTACATTGGAATTCCGAATTCATAAACACAATGTCCTTTCATACTGGCTTAACAACCAGTTTATAATGTTTGTCTTTTATGTTTTTGTTTTTTTGACAATAAGTCAGTTTGGGTAACCATTTTAGCAAGTGTGGTTTTTATGAAAGAAGTTTTTGCGTCAATTTAGTCAGCAGTATAAATCTTTCATATCTTATGGCATATTTAATTATTTTATTTACTGTTCTCTAGGGTTCCGAGTGGAACATAAGGCTTCAACAGCACATCTTCACTTTGTCCTATTCTCTGCTGTCCTCTTCAGTTGGCCCGAAAGTTGCCGATAATCTTTCATCTCCTCCTCACACGATCTCCTTAATGTCTCTCTCGGATACATGCCCAACCCATTGTTCGCATCCTAATTCTTCTCAAAGAATGGCCTGGCGCGCGACGTTACCCGACACTTTTCTACTCCTCAATCTCCATTTTCTTCGGGATATTTCTTGAACATTATTGAGAGCGAAACGCTTAGTTCAGCGAGGAGTCTTTTTTCAGCGGTGGATTCATTCACTTAGCTGTACTACCGCAATTATATATACTTATTTTGAATTTGTGTGCACATTAGGTTTGTCTGATAAGAATAAAAATAAGTTAGGGTTATTGTTGTCAAGACATTTCAGAAATGTGATCAGTAATCAAACGCTAACTAGGCCAAGGATGAGGATTGGTAGGACAGTAGTGCTGATGTATTGTCAGAAAAACATATTTATTAACACATAAAAGAAGTTGAATAAGCGTGATACAGTTACGTAATAAGATGGATAGTTTAGTGAGTGAGTTGTGATAAAGGAAAATATAGAATCGTGTAAGACTTCCAAAAATACAAATGTCATGAGTTAGAAAAAAGAAAAAAAAACAAGCACACAAACATCAAGTCAGTGGAAGTCAACATGGTTGTCATCATGATAGCAGAATTGGCTGGATGATTTTCTTTTGTATACGTTACTCTGGTTATTTCAACTGAATAGCTAAAGCTTCAGCAATACAAAGGAGATGAAAGCGTATTGCCTTTGTAGGTTATTCCTCACTTTGTAGATCACTTTGAATGAGACGTTTGTTGAGATGGAATGACCAGTGTTGACTAGATGTTCAATTATCTCGCTCCTTATA